TGCCTGCTGGTGCAGCTGCTTTTCTGCCCCATTGAAGCATGCTGCAAGCCAGACAGGCAGGGCTGATCCCTTGTCCCCACCTCTGCCTAAGGAGAGGCGGGGCTCAGCTATGTCATAAACAACAGGTAGGGAGAAGCCCCTCCACATGCACACACCCAACCCACACCCCAGCCACACACACCCCATCCCCACACCCCCCATCCTCACCACATCCACACACACACTCATACAAAACCCTCCACATGCACCACACCCCATCCGCACACCCCAACCCTCACCATACCCACACACACACCCCACCCACACCCTCCACACACATATGCCATACCAACATCCCCCCCACACCCTCGCACCCTACCCCTACCATACCCACTCCCCCGCAACACACACACACACCAACCACATACTCCCTCAACCACAAAACCCCTACCCCCCTGCTACACAATATGCAAGAGTAAGACTTTATTTTTGACCAAGAATGTTGTTAAGTCACTTTTTTGCACTGCTGCCATGACAATCAAGGCCACAAGTCCTCCTACATATAAAAGCATATAGAGCTGTTGTGGTTAAGATGCACCAATTTCCATGGGTGACTGGTGCCTCCTGAGTCTGGGCAGGCATGCACAGAAGCCAGCATCGTTGACAGGGATGGAGCTGGCAAGCACCCGCAGATACAGCTGGTGGCATCAGTGGCATAGACGGTCTAGTCAGGGGGGGCACATGCCCCCCCCCCCGTGCCCCCTGACAGTTGCCTATGCCAATTTCTATACCTGCTGACCTAAAGAAATGGCATGGCTATTATTATAGTCAACCACTCTTGACTCTGCAGCCTTAATGGACGGATACCCACTTTGTTGCTCCTAGTTTGGTCAACTAGGAACAACCTTTGCAACAAATCTGAATGAAACTTGAAATCTTGGTTCTAAAGTTAGAGCTGTCACCATATCTGTATTATAATAGCATTGTAAAAAATTAACCCCATGGACTTCAATGGCAAACAAGCCATCACATTTGAACTGGTACAGCTACATCAGTATACTATACTTGTATCAGTGCAAAACAGACTCCCCGCCCCACTCCCCCCACCCCGGTTCTAGGTAGGAAGACAACTGGAGTTAGGTGACCCCAGAGAGGTATCATAGTATCATAGTAGCTAGGGTCAGGAGGCACCTGATCAGATCATCTAGCCTGATCCCCTGCCACAGGCAGGAATGAATGCTGGGTTCACAAGACCCCAGACAGGTAATCATCTAACCTCTTTTTGAATTTGCCCAAGGTAGGGGTGAGGACCACTTCCCTAGGAAATTGGTTCCAGATTCTGGCCACCCTAACTGTAAAATATTGCCTACTGATCTCTAACCTAAACCTATTCTCCATCAGCTTACTACCATTGTTCCTCGTCACCCCAGGTGAGAAGGGGAAGAAAAGGGTTCTACCTATTTGCTGATGATGTCCCCTGATGAGCTTGTAGGCAGCCACCAGGTCCCCCCTCAGCCTCCTCTTGCTGAGGCTGAATAGGTTCAGGTCCCTCAGTCTCTCCTCATAGGGCCTGTCCTGCTGCCCTCTCACCAAG